TGAGGCCCATTGGGCCTGAAATATACAACTTATTATTATTATTATTATTATAGGTTTTAGTGCGGATGCGGGAACAGCCTAAAAAGGAGAGAACAGACTGGAAAAAATTAAACTCGAACTGAACACCGGGATCAGTCGTGATAGTGGATGGGGCGCCGAAGATGGCAAGCCAACGACTGAGGAAGGCTTTGACCACCGTAGAAGCCTCGCCACTTGGGAGAGGGATAGCCTCCGGCCACCGGGTGAATTGAGCCACGCAGGTGAGAAGGTAAGAACAGCCGTTGGAGGGAAGCAGGTGGCCCACGATGTCCAGATGGACATAAGTGAACCTCGTACCGGGGACGGGGAAGGTGCCAATGTGTGCCTCGTTGTGCTGGTGGACCTTGCTCCGTTGACAGCTCAGGCAAGCCCGTGCCCAAGCTTTGAAGTCTTTGTGCATTCCAGGCTAGACAAAGCGATCAGAGACCAGCTTGCCAGTTGCTAGACTCTCAGGGTGAGATAGGTTGTGCAGGGAGGAGGTAACTGTGTTGCAAAGGGATGGTGGCACGAATGGGTGGAGAACAGCGGTGGAGATGTCACACAGGATGGTGCCGTTGTAAGTCGGCAGTAGCAATTCCTGAAGTTGGAGTCCGGAAACGTCCTCGTCAGAAGGTGAACCAAAAGGGCGTTATTCGGCAGCCATGGCAGCCAGGCCGATCTCGGGAGTCGGTTGCAAATGGGCAATGGAGGGTCTGGACAGTGTGTCAGCCACCTTATTGCGTGTCCCACCGATTTGGCGGATGTCTGAGGTGAACTGCGAGATGTAGTCCAGTTGTCCATGCTCCCGTGGGTTCAGTTTGTCAGAGTGTGACTTTAAGGCGTAGGACAGTGGTTTATGGTTAGAGAAAACGACGAAGTCTCTGCCTCGAGGGCGTGCCGGAAGTGTTTTACGGCCAGAGAGACAACCAGAAGCTCTTATCCAAACGTGTTGTAGCGCGATTCGGCAGGTAGTAGCTTCTTGGAAAGGAAGGCTAAGGGTTGAGTTTGACCTGCAGCATGTTGGTGAAGAACCGCGCCGCCTGCAACATTGGAGGCGTCAACCATGAGTGAGAGATGCGCATTGGGAGCATAGTGCATCAGGAGTGGGGCATCGGCCAGGGCAACCCTTACCTTGTCAAAAGCAGCGAGGGCATTTGCGGATAGCTCAAACGAAAGTTTGGAAGTAGAAAGCGGATCTGTGAGCGGCAGAATGGTGTCAGCACAGTTCGGGAGGAACCGGCGATAGAAGTTCACCATGCCCAAAAAACGCTGGAGTTGACTCTTGGAAAAAGGAGGCGAGAAGTCGCGGATGGCTGCAAATTTGGCCGGCAGGGGATGGATGCCATTAGAGTCAACCAGGTGTCCAAGAAATTCAAGGGGAGACACACCAAAGACATATTTGGACGGGTTGAGAATAAGCCAAACTGTTAAAGGCGGTCGAAAATCGTTGTGAGATGTTCCATGTGTTCCTCGGCAGTAGGGCTGGCCATCAAAAGATTGTCGTGGTCATTGCCTGCCCGATGCCTGGCCTTCTTGTCGTGACCACAATT